CGCTGTAATAAATGGTGGCCATTGTAGAGGCAGAAGTTTTAAATTAATGGTCAAATCAGGGTCATATTGTTTGAAGCAGTATTTGTTAAAAGCATCCTTGATTAGAAATATGGGATGCCATGTTTTAGTAGTGTTGTAGAGGGAAAAATTCCCTGAGTGGTAGTCTAAATTGCTGCCCTTCAAGGAAGACTTCTGCAAGTCTATGGTTATTCCTTCTTCTAGCACATTCCCCTTGCCCTGATCAGGGTATAAACTTGAGGCTTTAGTAGTTGGCTCCATGGAGTTACGTCTTTGTACTAATGGAATTGTGGCTTTTCAAGCAGTGGAAAGGTTGGGCTTGGCCATGAAAGGCTGTACTTCTGTAAGAGCATAGCCTCAATTTTATAATCTTAACGTATCTGTGTGAAATGAGCCACCTTTTTCCTGTGCTGAGTTGATTTCTTTGATATCTCTCTAGTTTCCATTCATTTTTGTGAGGACGAGGCCCTTTAAGTAAGCCAGTTATAAAGCTGACAGTAAAAATTTAATCCACAGACCTTGTAAACAGCCAGATGACACACATTTTATGCAGCTTTCAGTTTATTATGTGACCCAGTGGGATAGTAATATGCTTATGATATGCAGGCTTGAGACTTCAATAACAAAAGTCTTTTTTTTTTTTTTTTTTAAGAAAAAAGAATAGTTCTGACACATATATCTCAGGAATATTTTCTTCAAATTTATTTTATCTCTTGTTATTTCTCTGAATTTTAAGATAGTTTTCTTGCTTTGCACATGACACAAGAAAAAATATCATTTCTAGTAATACTGTTACTACAGAGCAATATATACTGGTGATAGTCATGGTTATAATTTTTAACTGTGATTGGGCCTGATGAAAATTTTATTCTGTTCTCACAAAATTAATATTTGGTTTGTATAGCTAGAAATGTGCTAATTTGGTGATTATTGTATAAAAATTATGTTGAAAACCTGAAGCATTCTTGAGACATTTTATTAGGTGTTATAAATAGTGGAACACATTTTCTTATGTGTTTTCTACATCTGGAACAACAATCAGACTTGGCGCATAAAAAGATATATGATATGATACATAAAAATATATATGTATAGTTCATGGACGAGTTCATTTGTTATTACCAGCAGATATTTGTGTCATCGGTGACTTGGCATTTAAGTGGGGGAATGTTCTATAGCTGAAGGATAATGTAATTAATAAGTCTGAAAAGTTTGGCACCCTGTAGAAATGAAAAACTGAAGCATAAGCACCCTTTAAAAAGCTAAATTTTATCTGGTACTTGTAAAGTATATTATGCCGAGACTTTGACAAGTCATGCCATCACAACTCCGTTGGTGGTATTGGAATCTTTGACAAAAATATTTATTCACCGGCCTATGCACTAACAGCTTACTACTTAAAATAACTCTTGACTTCAGGCTGTATCTAGATGTTGTGGCTTTAGTTTGGTTAACATAGGCGTGAGGCTTCATGCTGTCCCAAGTTATTTCATCATCAAGCTACTAAATCATAGCCACATGTTGTATTGTCCTAGATTTGGAAAAAGAGGAAGAATTGGTTAGGGTGGAATATCATATTTTTGGAAGACTAAAGCAACCCTTTGTTCCAATATGGATGCTCTAAAGACAGAAGAGTTCCTTTCTTTTTGTAATAATATAATCTACTTTTTGTAGAAAACTAAAACATCAAAGAAAGGTATAAAGAAGAAAGCAAAAGCTCTGTAAGATACCACTCTCCACTTTACTATGAAAACCCTCCTCAGCATTTCGTAGGACATCTTCCTACACCCCATTCTTCATGTGTGTATGTATGCAGCAAATGGTATTCTATCTATAATGGTTTGCATCGTGCTTTTGACACTCAAAATATGTTATCGTGGGTTTTCCATATCAAAATAAATATACAGTAGCCACTCAAATTTAGTTACCCAGGTTTATATCTGCCAGTGGGCATTTAGGAGGTTTTTTAAAAAAGTTTTTGTTTATGTAAATAATTGCCAGATCTGTATCTGTCAAGGGAGTTAGTTAGTCAAAGAGTATGTGCATTTGTCAGTTTGGTCAACAGAGCCACACTGCCACTCAGAAAATGTACATTCCCAGTTATAAGATAGAAGATTGCTCGATCGTACCTTTTTGTCAACAATGAGTAATATCCGTTCTCCTCACCTTTGCCAATCTGATATACCACAGAGAGTATTTTTTTTTTTTTAACTTTCATTCTCTCATTGTATTCCTGGCTTTAAATGCTAACAATATATAATCTGACATCCCCAAATATTCTACACTATAATGCAGACTTGAAATATTCCACTGTCTACTAGACATCTTTGATTAATCATTTGAACCCACCCAAAACTGAACCCCTTTTATCTTTCACCAGACTTGTTTCTTGCTTGCTCTTTCATGTGTTAGTTAATGGCTGATCCAGCCTACCGTCACTCTGGTCACAATATTAGATCTTCTTTTCTGTGTCTCATGCTTCAAATTCAAGCCTCTCCACAAAACCTGTTGACTTTCCTCATATATCCAGAAATCTACCACTTCTCTTTACAATGGTAGCTACCACTCTGATATAGGCCTTAATTATCTCTTGTTTGGTTTATTGCTGTTCTTCTCTGGTTTCTCTGCTTTGCCTTGTCCCCCTCTATCCTTTTCTCAGCACAGCCACCTTAGTATCCTATTAAATGTCAAGTGAATCATGCCACTCATCTGCTCAAAACTCATTTGAGATTTTTTATCTTTTTCAGTAAAAGACAAAATTCCTACAGTGGCCAACCAAGCCCTATATGATTCGCTTCTCCTTCCCATTCTTTGCCCATTTTTTTTCTGGCCTCATCTCCCCACTTCTGTGCTTCTTCCACGTGTACTCCAGCCACACTGGCCTCCATAGTGTTTCCTGCCCAGGTGCCCCTCAGGGAGACATGCCCTTGCTTCCTCACTTCCATCAGTTCTTCTTTCAAGTCACCTTCTCAGCTGGAATTTCTGTTTAAAATTGATACCCCATTCTTTGAAACTTTTGCTATCCCCTTTCCCTTTTTTTTTTTTTTCTCTATAGCATGTATTTCATATTTTATCATTTGTTCCTTGTCTTTCTCTCTTTGCCAGTGTGAGACCTCCATGACAACAGGGACTTAGTCTTCTGTTTTTACTGCTACATCCCCAGTGTGTACAACAGGACTGACACATAAGGGCATGAAGTGCATAGCATGGACTGGGCACAAAATAAGTAATGAAGGATATTGCAAGAGTGCTACTTGGAGGAGTCTTTTTGCCCCTTTTCTTTGGAGTTTTCATTTTTTTCCTGTTAATGTGCCATAACTCCTTATATTAGCAGCTTAAAATTTTTATTTCATGTTGCAAATATTTTCTTTGTCACCAAACATTTTTGCCTTGCAGTTTTAAATTTAATGCCTTCTCTCATCTGCATATCTGAGTTTCTGCCATGCTTAGAAAGCCTTTTCCTGCTCAAAAAGTATTTAACAATTCACTCATATTCTCTTCTAGTATATTTACAATTTATTCTTCACATTTGCAAAAAAGGCTGAATTGAAATGGGATTTATTGAAAGGAGTGAATGAATAATAGATCCAGCTTAATTTTTTCCTAGATGTCTATACAGTTGCCTCAAAACCGTTCACTAAACAGTCCACTGTTGTCCTACCAATTTGAAGGACCATATTTTCCTATACTAAGTGTCCATATATTTTATGTAATGAAAGAAACTTACTCTTTGTTCTGTTTTATTCCCAGCTAGCATGTTCATTTATGTGGCTAAATAACACATTTGAATACGTGTAGTTTATCCCAAGTTTTAAATATTTGTTCCCCTCATCCTTTCTCTATATTTTTTACAACTAAAAACAGGCAGGATAATCCCTTTTTCACCAACATTATGTTAATAGGTAATACTTATATCTTGAATTTTATAATGTACATTAAGAAAATGTTTAAATCTTTATGTTGTGAATAAAGTGCTTTATTTATTCCCTTTATTTTTATACCACATGTTTCATAAAAACTAATGAATTATATGATTTGTTTTATTATCATAAGAGAAAATAGTTCAATTTTTGGTATTTTAGCATTTATGAGCATTGTTATCTTGTCATCCATGGTAGAATAGGATTTTATACACTGACTTATGCAAAACAGGTTAATACTGATATGCAATAAAAAAGGTGAAGTGAATAAGCATACTGTTTTGTTGTTTGTATTGTTTTTATTTCTGATTTTCTGTTGTTTATTGTTTCTCAGTGTATTTTTGTTTGTTGTGTGTTTAAAGGTGCTTGCTGCATCTACATTGTTTGATCTCTGGCAAGTTACTGAAATTCTTTGAGCCTTAGTTTTTTCATCTGTAAAATGGGGACAGTAATAGTATGTTGTCCATCCAATTACTGTTAGAATTAAGTGAAAAAATTCATGTGAAGTGTTGAGTGCAGCAGTGACACAAAATAAATATTTAATGAGTATTACCTGGTTTAAGTATGAGTAAATGTTCTAGTTTAATTTAGGAGGAAAAGGGCATCTAGGACTAAAAATTTTTGGAACTTATTCAGTGAAGTTGAGGATAGAAGGTGGAAACTGTCTCCTTTTACCAGTTTCCTTTGATTATGTTGAAAATGTTGTAGTAGCATAGGGAAAGCCTGTCCAGTAAAAAAGAAGGTTTAGTCTTCAGAGAAATTACAAATCATTTTACTCTGCAGAGTAAATCCTGAGAAGTCTGTGTATATTCGGATTAGCATTTTGAGATTATAGGAACAATTTCCTTTATTACTTACCAAATTTATAATTAATGTGAGAACTTAAAAATAGTTGTTTTGCATATTTGTGTTTACAGTTTTATAGTGAAAGAACATCATCAGAAGAAACAAGATATTGTCTACCTTCCTATTCCTCTCCCATATCATGAATACAAGCTCCCAATTATTGTCATGATTAGATGATTCTAGATCCTCCTGACTCACAGTTTCTTTCATCCGCAGACCCATTCTGAAGAGAGACCATTCCAGTGTGAGGAATGTAAAGCTTTGTTCCGAACCCCATTTTCTTTGCAGAGACACCTGCTCATACATAACAGTAAGTCACAATACAAGCAGTTGAGGACAAATTGAATTATCTCAAACTTTGTTCTTACAACTTTTGAGAATGTAGGCGTCACAGAAGTGGACCTATATGTGGTTATGTGATTTGCTTTTGAACATAAACAGGGCTGGTAATTCTGCTTTTCACCTTTTCTTCCGTTATCCTTGCTTCATTTTCCCACATTAAGATCAGTCATTTTATGAGACATTTTCTTTTATATCATTTCTTTGCACTATTTAAGGTTTGTATATAAAATCTTCTCTCATATTCAGTAAGGTATCTTTGAAATTTGTTCTGAAATAGACATTTTTTGTTCCCTTTTAAATATAATGATTAAGGAAACATGTCTGACCCTTTAAAACATGCAGATGTCTGGCATGATTTTATTAGCTCACAGACTTTTAAAGTTGGAAAAGATCAGAGTACATATCTAATAACTTCTAATATCTACAGATCTAATAACTTCTTACTTCTTTTGGCAGGAGCACTTCTTTTTCTTTTGAGAGAAGTTATACACATATACACCATGCAAATTTGTAAGCAGTTACACTCAGAGCTGTATTTAGAATACAGCACCTTATACCCACATCGCTGAAAGGACACTTTACATCACTGTATTTCAGAGAAAATGCTATTGCTAAGCTGAGTTTTAAAGTGGGTTCAAATATCAAAGTAACCAGACATTTGCTACATTACTCTATCTAAAAGTAAAGAAAAATGGCATAACGTAGGTAATATTTGTATTGATTGCTTTTGAGTTGTTTAATCAGTGGAATCTTCTGAAACAAAGTTCCTACTGCTGATTAAATTTTTAATATTTCTGAGGAAAGCGAAACAATTAATCAGTTATGACAACTGTACAGATAAGATAGTGTCTTGGAAGAAATTTTCTCTGATCAAGTAGAAGTGTCTAAAATTCAAAATACCAAAGATATTAAAGTTTTTAAAAATACCAAGTAGTAATGATCATGATGAAATGCCTCTTTTCCTACATAAGAGGTAGTGTTAAGGTCTCATGACATTCTGTATTTGACCTTACAGCTCTGGAGAATTGGTCAACACCACTTTCTGTTTCTTTATTAAGGACAGCCATGCATTTAAGAATTAAAATTTGTCATGTAACAGCAGGAATTTCCATCCCATTTTGCTCTCATTTAAGAAAGACAATCATTATGAGATGAATGGATTTTAGAGTAGGGATTGGGACAAGTGAACCTCATTCATACTATTAAGACTTCTGTGGCCAAATTTGGCCTGATGCTCAGGAACTTTTTCTTTAGACAGATGAAAATTTAATTTCAATAGTGACGAGGAATATTTATTATAAGGAATCTGCTACTTTTGATTTCTGCTGATTGGTTCTCATATACTTGAGAGAGAGGACTGAAGCAGTGGTGTAGACTCTGCTTGCATATTCTGTATTTAATATAATGTTGATCAGTACATTAATCACAGGCTTTATGAAGCTGCATCAAGACATTTGGCTGGAAAATCAGCTTTGTAGTTGACTGAGTAAGTGGGTTATTGAAGGTAAAGTTAAACATCAGATAAGGCAGGTCAACTAAAAGGATGGGAAAAACCAGAAGTAGACTGAATAAGACAAAATACTAGATGTTATCTTACACAATATGAAAATTAAGACCTGTTTAACTTCAAAACATGCAGGCTGTTTTAGAAATTTCTATCAGCATTCTGGCTCAAAATATGAAGAATAGCTTGTCATAATTACTTTGGGAAATACTGCTATTTTCTAACACACTGAAAACCAAAAGGCAGGTTACTAGCTAGCTTCTTGGTTTTAAGATAGGAAAAATCCTCTCTTTAATCCTATGTTTATTTCTTTAAGGCAAAGAAATCTGATAACATCAGATTAAATCTCATAAGAGTTAAAAAATTCTGATAAGCTTAAAACAAAGAAATCTGGAATTAAAATATGAAAGAAGAAAGGTAAGGCCTCCCTTGGTATAGCTTGACGAGGTCTTTGTATAGGAATCAATATTTTGATTCATGTGATAGTTTAATAGAAATGCTTTAATAGGAGAAATCTTGGAGGTTTACTTTTTTGTTTTGTTTTTGTTTTTTATTTACTGAATTGTAAAGATTTACTCATTTATTTTGAGAGGGGGATTGGGGAGGGGCAGAGGGACAAGGAGAGGGAGGGAATCCTAAGCAGACACCCTGCTGAGCACAGAGCCCTAAGACACAGGGCTGGACCCGTGACTCTGAGATCATGACCTGAGCTGAAACCAAGAGTTTGACCCTTTGACTGAGCCACCCAGGCACCCCTTGTTTTTGTTTTTTAATTTCTCTTTGTTCCTGAGTTGCTTTGGTATTATTTATAGTCTTATGTCATTGATACTTTCTTTTACTCTCACTGGTTATACATTTTATACAAATAAAGTATTTAAATAAATCTAAAAAGGTATATAAAGACAAACTAGTAATAGCACCCAGCAACAAAAATGCACAAAGGCAACATACAAACATAGCTCTCAGAATCTACACAATTCTTGCATGGTTTGGGTGTGACTTTGTTCCAAGCATCAGATTTCAACAGGGCTCTCAGAGATTTTAAGTTAAAGAGCCATAATTCTGTTTGAAAAGGGTCATTTGTCTTTTTCTTTTTTTCTTTTTTCCTTCTTTTTGTCCTTCCTCCTTTAAATTTGGTATGAAGAAATAATAGGATCTTCACATTTCTAAATCTATGCTAGTTCTAATGGAGATGTGAGATGAGTTTGGTTGAAATTGAGGTAATCTCTTATTTCAATGTAGAAAGTTATCTGTATATTTTGTCTCATAATGAATATAATATGTGAATCTGTACTTATAAATTGTTCTTTAAAAAGGGAATATATGTTCAAATACTAGTCTGTCTGGGGTGCCTGGGTGGCTCAGTTGGTTAAGCGTCTGCCTTCCACTCAGGTCATGATCCCAGGGTCCTGGGATCGAGCCCCGCATCAGGCTCCCTGCTCAGCGGGGAGCCTGCTTCTCCGCTGCCACTCTGCCTACTTGTGTTCTCTCTCTCTGTCAAATAAATAAATAAAATCTTTAAAACAAAACAAAACAGAAAACAAATACTAGTCTGTCTAATTTATATAATCGTGTTATAACTTCCTGAGAGATAAAACTGCTTTCTAATTGTGCACATGCATCGCTTAAATGTATTTCAATAGACCACTAAAAGGTAGATGTGTTTGTTAAGAAGACCTACAAGGATAGCATTATATGAAAGTTTAAAAAGTACCATACTGTACCCCTAAACATAGTTTGTGGAGTTGCTTTCCCTGTGGGCCTAGGCAATAGAATGATAACAAGGTGAAAACCCTCACAGGTACCCAGGGGCTCTTGGGTAGAAAAGGATAATTGTCCCAATCCAACTGCCTCTCTGAGAGGCAGCCCTCTAACCTGTCTGAGGACAGCCTGGGAGCTGAGCCCCTTTCCCCAGCTAATTAATTAATTAGCAGACGAAGGACCATGTTAGGGTGCCTCTAGTCCAAGTTCCTGAGATAGTGCTGAGGAAGTAAAGGGGTGTTGTAGCCCTTTCCTGTCCTAGAAGGGGGCTGGCTCTGACTTATTTCTGTGTGCCCTCAGGGGCTTCCCTCCCCACTGTGCTACCCATGACCCTATTCTGCCTGTGCCCTGTCCCTTAAAGGCCACATAAAGGTTGTGGAGTGAGGGGAGTTTAGGAGGGACCCCAAAAGCCACTTACTCTGCTTGACAGAAGCCTTTTGTCACCACAAGACTCTACTTACTTCAAACCTGATTCCCTGTCCTAGAAAGACCTCCTTTTAGAGAAAGTTCATGGTTCCTTTAGAAAATTAGCTAATTGAGTCTCCACCTTTTCCAATTAAAGAGGCTGAGAACATAAGAAGGTTAAAGCACTTCCCACTGGTCACATAATGAATGAGCAAATACGGAATTGAAAGATGTGAAAAATTACCTTTTCTGGTTATGATAAATTGTTAGTAATAAAGCTAACTTTTTGGAGAAAAGAACACTACGTCTGGAACCCATGAGGGAGAGTTAACATCACCCTGCTGTTGCATCTGATCTTTCTCTTATCTGACTTTTTCATTTCTAAGGTGAGAGGACTTTCAAGTGCCATCACTGTGATGCTACCTTTAAAAGGAAGGATACCTTAAATGTTCATGTCCAGGTGGTCCATGAAAGACATAAGAAATACAGATGTGAGCTATGTAATAAGGCATTTGTTACACCTTCTGTGCTTAGAAGTCATAAGAAAGTAAGTAGAAGCCTTCTGTGAGTTTAAATGGATTACATACTTCAGCATATAGGCATGTATGCTAATTATCATGTGATAATCAACTTTATATTAATTAGTCAACATATTTCCTCAAAATGACAAGGGATGCATGGTTTATATGAGCTCTTCAAAAAATGTCTGTTCTCTTTACTTTTTCAGAAGAGATATATAATTCAGATGAAGGTGAACCTAGATTTAGGTATGGATTCTGCACAGCGCTGAGCTATGATGATAGATGGGTCAAAGTATTTGATGAGTGGGAGCTTGTCAATTTTTGTACATTTTTTAATTAATGTGGGTTTTTATCTAAAAAATGATTAGTGCCTTAATTTTATTTTTCAGAGCTAATTCAGGTGTTTATTGACAAGTTATTAGATTGAGCTCTTTTCTAGGATTGGAATGGTCCTTCTTCATCGTGCATCTCTAGGGCCTAGGGAAGTTCCTGGCACAGAAGAGGGACTTGATTAAGTATTTGCTTAACTCAAATAAAATGAGGTTCTTACTTACGGTGATTTGGAGATTATCTTTTTTGTGTTATGCTAATTACTGTAGGCAAATCAAGAGGTTATTTTTATTTGTTTTATAAGTACATTTTAAGTGTATTTTCAAAAATAGCAAAATTCATAGTGTAACAAACACCGTTATAAGTTTTAATGTTGACTCTAGAAATGACTGTGAAGTAATAGATTCCGCTACTTGGTGTGTACTGCTGAGTGAATGTGAGGAAGTGATTCCTGCTTCAGTGTGACTTTCACTTTGGTACCTGTCCTTAGTATGGCTGTGTCGAAGGACTGAACTGAGGAACATTCTTTTGCTGTTTCTTTAATGTTCGGTAATAATGATATTGTCTTCTTTTTTCAAATTTCTGGAGAAGATAGTCTTTCAACTGTCTTTGCTTGAATTACTTTTTTTGCATGGATTTAATAAATTTGTGTCATGTTTTAATCAATGTGGGAAAAAATAGTGAGTTTTCAAGAGAGATAATAGTTGTTTGTCCACAATCACAGATTGTTATATAGTACATTTTGCAGAGCATTGTTCATTTTTATCTGATACATTTATCCAGTATTGTCAGAGTGATCTGTTTCCATGCTTTCTTATCTATATTTAAGATATTTTAGTATTATACCTTAAATGTCTTTTAAAACCAATTAACCAAATTCCATATCGATACATTTTTTAATTAAACCAAAGAAGCATTTTAATTCTTTTCATTAATGTTGACTTAATGTTGTTTAGTTGGAAACTATGCCACTGAAAATTTACTTAGGTCATGTAGGTGAGCAATGAAATACTTATGTAGCAGCAAAAGAAATGCTGTGGATTTTATATAGATACTATAAGTAAATTGATAGCTGCCTCTTTGGAATAATCCAATGCTGCAATAATAGATATATACAGTTTCTAAACAACCGTACAATCAAGAAAGAATTATTGTATTTTGCCCCTTCTGTCAGGGAATGAGAAGAAAATAGGTCTGCTATATGTTAAAATGTTATACCATTTCCTTTAAAATGAGCCATAATGGGGACCATGGGAGTAACGGCTCTTACTGTAAAGAATGTATAACTGTTTTGTATAAGAACTTAGAGTGAAAATGGAAAGTTAAGTTCCTGCCAAATGCAAAATCAAGGAGATGTCTGTTGTAGCCAGTGTCATTGGCTAGCGTGGCAGTTGGTTAGACTATATTTCTCAAACTTGAATATAATGTAAATCATTTTCAATGGAAAAAATATTTAAAAGGACACTGATGTTGACTAAGGTATTTAGTTTATAACTCTTTTACAAACTACAAATACAATAGTGTCTCTCCAAATGCACATTATAATTCGAATGTGAAAATTTTCCAATTAAATACCAATAAGGCTATGAAACTAATTATATTAAAGTTAGCAATTAATATGGAGACTGTTTTGCTACATTGGTGGTTTTTTGAGATGAGGTAACTGCCCTACCCCTTTCACCCAGTGCCGGCCAGTGCGTCCCTCCTGGGAACACATCATTTAAAGAAAAAACAAAACAAAACAAAAAAACTTTCCTATTCTTTTTACATTAGCCCATGGCTATGCCAGTAATTTGCACTAACCTAATGCAAACACAGGCCCTGGAAACTCTGCGTTGTGGTGGTAACCCAGATGATCCACTGTGTGCTTTCATTGATGTGTAGGTCATCGTTGAAATGAAAAAAAATTTAAAAAGTGTCACTGAGAATGTGCAGATATCTAAAATAATTTCCTTCTCCCTCCCTTCTTTTCCCCTTCTCCTAAGTTTGAAAAACAATGGGACTTGAAAAGTAGCTCTGACCCCCTTATTTATTGGAATGACCTATTTTGATGTTGGTAGAATAACTGGTCTCCTGATGAGATTGTGAGCCAAGTTTAAAAAGCTCCATCTGACTCTGAAAAACAAACTGAGGGTTCTAGAGGGGAGGGGGGTGAGAGGATGGGTTAGCCTGGTGGTGGGTATTGAGGAGGGCACATTCTGCATGGAGCACTGGAACACTACATCTAAAACTAATGATGTAATGTATGGGGATTAACATAAGAATTAAAAAAAAAAAAGCTCCATCTGCCTCCTCTTTTTGGGAGAGCTTACTCTTTTCTTTGAACTCTCTAACATTCCAGCAAAATTCACTTTTGATGATACATATTCACCTTTCTTTGTGTGGTTGTTTTATGCTGAGATTAAAGGTATGTGGAGGGCAAGGATGTTCTTTCAAATTGACTGCTCAATTAACACTGCTGATTTTAAAGATCAAATCAGATTTATATTTCTTTTTGCTTTTCCGTAAAATCAATCCAGTCAGGCAAGCATAATGCAAGTAACAGATTACTTTATTGAGATTAATTCTGCCCTCAAGAGTTAAATACACACCAAGAATGTGAAAAATGCTTCTAAGGAAGTGTTTCTTGGCAGCAGTAAAGGGCAGCTTTAACCCCATTTTGATTATGTGGTTTTGCCAGCATATACTGGTTTTGTATCACTTAATCGTTTTTACTTGGGGGCTCCATAAAGGCTTAAAAAGTAAAGTGCAGAATTATTTTCAAATTAGCACTAATGCATGATTCTAAGGTTTGGTTTTTTATTTTATTTTTTTTTGAACCAGTGGGAATACTCATGATAAATTGTTTAAAATCTCATTGTGATATTAAATCATCTTAATGAAACATAATCCTGGAAAAAAAGGATTTACCATTGTCAGAGGCACTTAATCATTTTTACCTAATTCTTTATATTTATCCTCAACCCTTTTTATTCCTTTCCATTTAGACACATACAGGAGAAAAGGAGAAAATCTGCCCATATTGTGGCCAGAAATTTGCCAGCAGTGGTACACTGAGAGTTCATATCCGTAGCCACACAGGTAAGTAAATTGTAATTGGTGATAAAAACAACTTAAAGAAATCAAATTCCTTTAAGACAAGGGATATCATAATCTTACAAAATATCTCCCAGATTAAGAATTAATCTTGGCTATTTTCTCTTCCTTAAAATTTTATAGAATCCAGTTCCTTACTTTAGAAAAATCTTAAATAAGTTTACTTTCCCAAACTAAGTTAAATGTCTGAAATGGAAATAATTTGGCTCATGTTTTGTTGTGATATAATTGTGATTTACTGTATATTCTGTTCTAATGGAGGAATAGGGAATAGCAGTTTCACTTTTTATAGAAGGCTAAGGGCCTCCTCTTAAAATTCCTTCCTATAACTGATATCAAATGTGGCTTTTTTAAAGTTAGAAAGTTCTTGGAATACTGCCTGGATGCTGTAGGATTTTATTGGATACGAGGGTGATGGAACCGTAATGTCCCGTATGCCATGGATAGCTTCCTAAAGGGGTCGTCCCTTGATTTCTTATGACTTTTTGTGCAATTTCTCCCATGAAGGAGGGCTATGCCCTAGTGAAGGCTGAATAAACAACTAAATATTCTTTTTTAAAATTTTAACTGGAGTATAGTTGACATAGAATATTTGTTTCAGGTATACAACATGGTGATCTGATAATTATATATGTTATAAAAAGCTCACCATGATAAATCTAGGATAAGTCTAAATACCACCTGTCACCATACACAGTTATTACAATATTATTGACTATATTCCCTATGCTGCAATTTTCATCCCCATGACTTATTTTGTGACTGAAGTTTGTTCCCCTTATCTTCTTCACCTATTTCACCCATCCCCCCACTGCCTTCCCCTCTGGCAATCACTAGTTAGTTCTCTATTATTTATGAGTCTATTTCTCTTTTTGTTGTTGGTGGTGGTATTTGTGTATTTTTTCATTTGTTTTTTAGATTCCACATATAAGTGAAATCATATGGCATTTGTCTTCCTCTGACTTACTTAGCATAATATCCTCTAGGTCCATCCACACTCTTGTGAATGGCAAGATACCGTTCTTTTTTATGGTGAAGTCATATTCCATCATGTATATATACCACGTTTTCCTTATCCATTTATCTGTCAGTAGATACTTACATTGCATTGCCTCCATATCTTGGCTCTTGTAAATAATGCTGCAGGGGCGCCTGGGTGGCTCAGTCGTTAAGCGTCTGCCTTCGGTTCAGGTCATGATCCCAGGGTCCTGGGATCGAGCCCCGCATCGGGCTCCCTGCTCAGTGGAGAGCCTGCTTCTCCCTCTCCCACTCCCCCTGCTTGTGTTCCCTCTCTCGCTGTGTCTCTCTCTGTCAAATTAAAAAAAATATATTAAAAAAAAAAAATGCTGCAGTAAACATAGAGGTGCATACATCTTTTTGAATTAGTGTTTTCATTTTCTTTTGGTAAATACCCAGAAGTGCAATTACTGGATGGTATGGTACTTCCATTTTTAGTTTTTTTTGAGGACCCTCCAAACTGTTTTCCAGAGCGTCTGCATCAATTTAAATTCCCACCAGCAGTATACAAGGGTTACCCTTTCTCCACAGTCTCACCACCACTTGTTATTTCTAGTCTTTTTGATACTAGCCATTCTGATTGGTGTGAGATGTTATCTCATTGTGGTTTTGATTTGCATTTTCCTGATAATGAGTGATGTCGCACATCTTTTCATGTGTCTGTTGGCCATCTCTATGTCTTTTTTGGAAAATGCCTCTTTAGGTCTTCTGCACTTTTTTCATGGATTATTTGTTGTTTTGGTCTTGAGTTGTATGAGCTCTTTACATATTTTGGATATTAATCCCTTACTGGATATATCTTTTGCAAATATCTTTAAACAATTAAATATTCTTGACAGAACCTTGTCTGGATTTTATCTATCATGTAGAGAAATACTTGAGAAGACTTGAAAAAATACTCTGAATATTGATAGCCAGATCATTTTACTTGAATCTTAATGGTTTTCAGTAGCTGGACTATATGTGGTAAAATGTAACTAGATTACATTGCTGAGGCTTCCTATTCAAGAGCCAGAGTATTTGACTTTATCATTGTAGCCCCAGTACCTCATGAAGTAGACGTCTAGCATAGTAACTGTTTTGTGGATGAGGAAATGTTAGCTTACATAGGCCAAAGAATCAATAGTACAACTATTACACAGAGGTGGAGGAAAGGACAGCTGTGGAACATAATTTCTTATTCTGGAATTTTTTTGGCTAAAGCTAAAAGACATAATGTCAAAATAGTATTTGTAATCTTAGAGTGGTCTCTTAAATACTTTTAAATGAAACCTGTAACCAAGAACATATCAAACATTATACATGATGAATGTAGAATAATGGGTGCCCTAAAGAGAGAAAGGAGGTCTTCTTGCTTAGAAGTATCCAGGGAAAGTGAAGTTTTGAGAACCAAAACAGAAGCAGAGAACAACAAAAAGAAGGAAGCAAAAGGAAAAGAGCAATAGAGAGCCATGTTGAGCGTGGGTGGACTTAAAATTGTTCCAGAGTCTTTATCACCGTGTCCTGATTGTACAGAAGAAACAAGTCATTGATATAATTTCTTATATTATTGTTTTCTCCTTTTCTTAGGTTTTTCCTTCTTACAGATATCCTCCTGAGAATTTTATGTTCAATATCTTTCCCTTTCCTTTCTTTCAAGTTTATCAAGATCCTAAGTCGTTGAATATGCTGAAACTTCCTAATAATTTATAGACATAATCTTGATAGACTATTGATAAGGAGCTAATTTACTATCATGTTGTCTGGCATTAATAATCATGGTATTTTTTTTAATGTATTACCCTTGGAAAAATGCATTTTTGATGGAAAAAATGCATTTAGGTGGCTGTGTTCCTGATTAACCTGACCTTTTTGTTTAGTAAACTAGTGTTGAAAGGAGAACTTGGTTGGAAAAATTATTTTTAGTGGTGTTTTAAATTCTGAGTTATGTGTTTTTAACTAACTTCTTTCTTAAAATTAAACTGTAATGATCTCCAAGATAATCTGTCAAAAATTTAATTTACCTTGTCACATCAAAAGTTGTCCTTGGCTTTTTAAATTATTACTATCTTCCTTATTAGACATAAACCCAAAGTATGCTCGATTTCTAAGTCCAAAAAGAGATCATAGGCAGTAAAATTTGTTTAAGAAAAAGAACAATCTCCTGTTCCTTGAAGAGCTGTTGATAATAGGAAAAAAAAAAATGGAAATAGAGCCTGCATATCCAACAGTTTAGAAGATTGGTTAAATAAATTATGGTATATTAGTTAACATGAAAAGAAATATAAGTTACAAAAACAAAATGATATATTTTTATAAGGATAATATATTTATATATAAAGGCCTTAGAGGTTAAATACTAAATTATTACCTGTGGTTATTTCTTTGTATTATAAATATGGACAATTTGAATTTTCTTGATGATTTTCTGTGTTTTCATGTAAGTTTCTTGTCTAATAAAATATTTAAAATATATTAACATTATGATTATGCAGGTAACTGCTATTATTAGGTTTATGCTAAATTATTTAGGTGTGACATGTTTCTGCATCTGATTCTCAAGTGGAGCAGCAAAAAGAAGTGCAAAAAATATATTTTAAAAAGGGAGAAATGAGAATGAGAAAGCAAATACGGTGACATTAAACCCAAGTGAGGATATATATGGCTTATTGTTCTATTTTTCCAATTTTTCTGCCTGTGTGAAAATTTTCATAATTAAAAGTGGGAGTGTTCTATTCCAGTGAGAACAACTGAATGGATGCAGATGCCAACTAAGTGCCGCTAAGAGCTGTTTCCTGAACATCCAGCTTCACAGCTTACATCTTGTTTGCATCTCTCTCAAAGCCTAGTTCTTTCAACAGGAAGATTTCTATTCTTTAAATATAAACAGACTTTTTATTGTTTTGTTTTTTTGCTTACAGTCAGACCACTCAGAGAGAAAACTCAGATTCTTCTGAAGAAGCAGAACTTCTTACTGCATGCTTAGTCATCTTCTTGAAAAAGGAATTCCATGAAATTTGCTATTGGCATAGTCTTTAGAATTTTTTTTTAAATATATTGTAAAGTATATCAATTTTTTACAAAAGAAGGTTTAAAGAGTTGGTAAGGCTTACCCAGTCATGCTGTTATCCTGCTATAAATCTTGCAGTGGTTTCCCCTTGCTTTCTGCAAAATGACTGTCCCTTACCTATCACGAGACTTATCAACTACCAATTCCTCTCACAGTTGACATTCCAAGCTCACTTATTAGGCTTCTTTCGCTTTCCCCCAGTCTCCAAGTAAATGTAACTTTCTCCACGATATGTCACGTGACCATCCCTTATTCCCACATTAGGTGGATATGCTCTATCTTGTGCTTCTCTCAACACTTCACGCTTCCAGGTGCTCATACTTCTTCAGTCATTCGTAAGTTCTCTGTTCCTTTAGAGCTGTGCCCATATCCGATAACTTACTTGTTTACTATTCAGAGAACTGACTGGCATGGAGAAAGAACCTAGAGAATGCTTCTTGAATAAATAAAAGAATCTACAAATACATTACCATACCTGTGGGATTTTGGAAAGAATGCTGGCTTCATAGCAAGAAGTCTTGGATTTGAATCTAAATTTAATTGACCATAAAATCATTTTTTCATAAATTAACTATACAATCATGGAATTCACTTTGAGAAATGTTAGAATCAAAGAATAAAATTACGGGCGGAGCAAGATGGCGGAGGAGTAGGAGACCTGGATTTCGTCTCCTCTCAGGAATTCAGCTGGATAGGGATCAAACCATTCTGAACACCTACAAACTCACCAGGAGATCGAAGAAAAGAAGAGCAACAACTCTCTCATCAGAAAAGCGACCACTTTCTGGAAGGTAGGACGTGCGGAGAAGTGAATCCGAGGCGATATTCGGGAGGATAGACGGCGGGGGAGGGGCCTCCGGCGGCCGCTTCTGGCAAGTGATAGAACCACGGAGCACAAAATCGGAACTTTTAAAAGTCT